GGGAGGTGGCCTGTGTGGGCAGGGAGCATCTGGCTGGTGGGCCTGCCTTGTTATCCCGGGCAGAGGGGCTCCTCTTCGTAGCCCAGGCAGCCCTGCGCGGGTTGGGTGGCTCTGGGGTGCGGGGGCGGCTGGACTCGTGCTCAGGCCTGCACAGCTGTGTGGCCTGGGACAGTGGCTCGCTCTCGGAGCCCGGACTTTGTTGTCTGTGAAGTGGGGCGATGGCCCTTGCCTCTGGGGTGGGCGTGAGGGTGAAACTAAGTCAGGCCAGACCATCAGTTCTTGCTTGGGAGCAGGGAGGAGTGGTGGCTGGGGGCCCCTCTGAGCCTCAGGGTCCTCATCTGCCCGGTGGGGCGAGGAGTTTCTTGCTCTGGTGCTGGGACATGGGAAAGATTGCCGGTCAGCGCCCAGCGATGCCTGGAAGGTGGGGAGCACTCGGTGTTGGGCTGGGCAGTGTGGGGAGGATGTGAAAGTTCCGCTCCCCTGGGAGGGGTGGTTTCGGGGCAGCCGGCTCCAGAACCATCCTGGGAACCAGGAATCCCCAGGGTCAGGAGTGGGACCTGTCGCCCGGTGTGGCCTTGGCATGGACTGGGGGGTTGCGTTCCCTGTCCAGTCCTCGCGGGCCTCTGGGGTCCCGGGTAGGGATGGGTGTCCGGTTGTCCGGGTGTCCTCTGTCGGGGAGGGACCCCTGGATCTCAGGGGACCAGCCCCCACCTTCAGTGAGTGCGAACACCGAGGCCGGAGTAGAGTGATTCTGGGTTCCCTTTCTTCCTTCAAGCAAAGAGGATCTTTCGTAACTGTGGGAAAGAGCGCTTCTCCCTGAGGGCGGTGGGGGCGGGGGCTTGGTCAGCAGATATGACGTGCCCCCCCCTTGCCCTCTGCCCTCCTGCCTGCAATGCCCTCCGGCCCTGTGCCAGCCCTCCCGGCCCCATCAGGGTGGGGTGGGCTTGCCCAGGCAGCTCTCACCCCAGATGCGGCAGTTTCTCGTGGGGGCCCCTGCGGCATTTCCTGGTGGGGCCGTGCCCTGTGCGTGCCCACCTTGGACCTTTGTGCAGACGGTGCCCTCTGCCTGGTGTGCCCACCTCCCCCTGCTCTCCTGTCCCTGATCCTGATTCCACAGGGCCTCCATCCCCTTGAAACTGGTCCCTAGGCCTGAGCGGGGTGTCCCTGTCCTCTGAGATCCCTGCCACCCCCATCTGCTCCATACCCCGGAGGGGACTGGGACAAACACGGACAAGGCCACCCTCATGCACCCTGGGCCCTGGTTCCCCCAGCTCCAAGTGGGTCCCTTCCAGCCCTGAGGAGTGAGGATGGTGTGGCTTCTGGTCCTGGGAGGGGCTGCTGCTGTGGCAAGGGGCCAGGAGCTGGCTTGCTCAGCTGGGAGCTGGCTGGTATGCAGTAGGCGCTTGGCAGGGCTTGGGGCCAGCGGACTTGGCTTCCTGCCCATGCTGCTGGAAGGGTCTGTGATTTGGGTCCCACCCCTGTGCTCCTGACTCAGCAGCCGCAGGGTGGGGGAAACCGGAGGTTTCTCCACAGAAACCCCAACCCTGGGTATCTGCCACAGGGCCCAGATTTCTCTCCAAGGTGGGAAGTGGAGTCCTTGATTCCTGCCTCTGGGTTCCCAGTAAGACACTGGGGGTGGGGCTGGATCTGGGGCTCTGGGCTCAGCCTGGGGGTGTGTCCGGGGGTGTCTCCCCACCCCTACCCCAAACCTCGCTCTCCAGTGCACCACTTTCTGCGGCTCCCCAGTGCCTGCAAGATGAGGTCCTAGGTGCCTCCTGGCTTGGCTTTCCTCTCGTCCACCCTGTCCCTCCTGCCGCCACACGGGGCACCTCTCAGTCCTCAGGAGCCAGGCTGGCTTTTGCCTCTGGTTCCCACCCACACGCCTCTTCACCCGCCAGCTTCCTGCTCTGTCCCCTCTCCGTGGACGAAGCCGCCTCCAGGGGCTCTCCTGGGTTGGGTCCCGCCACCCCTCGGTGGCAGCGCCTGGTGTCCCGGCGCCCGGCAGAGTTGCAGGCTGGGGCTTGGGGCCTCCCTCCGTGATGTGGTTGTGGAAGGGAGCGCCGAAGCCCTCCGGCCCGGGCCAGCCTTCTGGGGGGCTTCCTGGGGGGCTGCCTGGCGCGGAGTGGGGGCCGGCACTCACAGGGCCTTTGCTTGAGGTCCTTGGACAGGGCGCCTCCCACCGCCGAGGCTGCGGCTCCCCGTGCAGAGTGTCTGTGCGGGAGACGGCGGAGGACGCCCCCCACGGGCTGTCCGCGAGCGCCTGGTCGGGGTGGGGGTGGTACGGTTTGGGGCCAGGGCCCCGGTTTCCACTTGGTCAGGTGGGGAGACCAGTCCCCACCAGGGTCTCAGGGCAGTGTCTGCACTGCCCGAGGCTGCCCCAGCTCCTGAGGGCAGGAGGCTGGAAGTTTGGGCCAAACGCAGAGGTGGGGCTTCGTGTCTCCTCGCCCGCCAGTGGTGGGTGCATGTCGTGGGCTTATGGGCCTCCGGGGTCCCCCCAGGGCCGGCGTGCAGGCGGCTGGGCCGGGGTCTGGAGCCTGGGGCTGGGAAGCTTCCGTCTGCCCGGGTCCAGTGGCCCTGGGCCAGCGGGGTCCACCACCAGACACTTGGGGCAAGGCGGGTACACGGAGCTGTCACTCGGACCTCGCCTTCTGCGTGCTTAGCCCGGCCCCTCCTGCCGGGTCTTAGTTCAGTGTCTGATGGCTGAGCGCCCCCCCACCGCCCCCCGGCCTTGGTGCCAGCTGCCTCCTTGATCCCTAAAGATATTTGTGAAACACGAGCTAAAAAAGGTTCTTCCCTGGGGGATGGGGGAAGCGCAGGGAGGGAGAGAACAATTAAAGCCGAAATTAATTGCGGTGCCGGTTTTCCTGTCGCCCCCCACTCACCGTCAGTGCATAACGCAGGACCAGGGAGAGTGAAGAGTAATTAGTCTCGACTCACCCGCTTCATTCATGACTGAATCTGGGCCAGCGCCTGGCACAGATAAGCACGAGTGGGCACCACACGGCGGGACGATGGCAGTGCTGCTGCTCCCGCTCTGCGTGCTGTGCCCAGATGCCCCCTCCTACAGGAAGCCCTGCTAGATGCCCCCCACCCCTGGGAGGCTCTTTCCCACGCCTGAGGCCAGTGTCTTCTGCATGTGATGGTGTCTTTTCCCCATGGTCCCTGTAGGGACTGTGTTGGGGGCTGGCAGCAGCTTTTGGGGTGGGGCACGTGGGGGCGCGGCGACAGCTCAGCGGGGTCTCCTGCCAGGGACCGCACGGGGCCTGCTTGCGGTGCTCACTTGTTCCAAAACACTTGACCCCGGTCGTGTTGCCCTTTTTCGATATCTCCCATGCTGGCATGGTCCCTGGGGTTCATGAAGGCCCAACTCTGGCCCTGGCGATGGTCCCTGCGGGGGAGGCTGGCCAGCTGTGCTGATCTGCTTCCTGCTGCTCGAATGTTCCCAGCCCTCTCCCTGCTCACGGCCTTTGCACGTGCTCTGCCTCCTGAATGCTCTTCCTTACGTTGCCCCGTGGTCCCCGTTTTCTCCCTTCTGATCTCACTTGGGTGTCCCCCACCCACCGCTGTGGCCTCTCCCCCATGGTCACCCTCAGCCAGCCTAGCCTGCTTATTTTCCTCTGAAGGTTTGTTGTGGGGCTTCCGTCAGTTCCCTTGGCTAGGGTGTGAGCCTGGGACTCTGGGTGCCCCAGGGACCACTGGCATCCCCACGTCTTCAGCACAGCAGGTGCAGGAAGAACATGGCTGAGCCCCACTTCTGGGGTCTGCGGCTGCCCGTTCTCTGCCTCCTCCCATGGGTAACCTTGTGGAGACAGTGGGGTACCTTAGGGAGGGGTGAAGGGAAGGTGCTGCCTTTGGGGGCCAGTCCTTGCAGCACTGCTGGGCTCTGCGTAGCGAGAGCTCTTGGGGACCCCGGGTGCTTGGGGCAGTGTCTGGGTGGAAGGGCAACAGTGGGGGGCCTGGCCAAGACTCTGCCACTTCCTGACTCTTCTCATCTTATAGAAATGGGAAACTGAGGTCTGAGGGCAGGTGCTGTCTGCCTTGAGGCCACTGGGGAAGGTTTGAGAAGTATTGGGCTAGACCCGGGTTTTAGGGGAGGGCCCCTGCAATGGAGGAGGCCCCTGGGCCTTGTAGGGAGGGGCCCCTGACTGTGGGGGAGGCCCCTGGGCCTTGTAGGGAGGGGCCCCTGACTGTGGAGGCGGATCCGGGCCGTGGGGAAGGGCCCTGAAATCACCCTGGGGTAGATGGCATGGGCAGCTGGGTGCAGAGCCTGGCAGACAAAGGGTTACAGATTGAGGGAAGTAATAATGTTTCTAATTTTCCGTTGTGATTTAATAAAAATGTAAATCTCGGGGTAGAGGACGGCCCAGCTCACCGTGGTGTTGACCGAGATAAACTGCGGGTTCCTGGTGGTCAGCCTGCCTTTGTCTCCACGCCCCTGAGCCTGGTGCCTCCCGTCAGCCCAGAAGGCCAGACAGCGCAGGGCAGACGCTGCCTGGATGCATGGGGAGCCGGAATGCCAGGGGCCGCTGCCGCGGGAGTGTCAGGGCCTCTGCTGACGGGGGAGGCCCGGGATGAGGCTCCCCTCTGACCCCTGCACCCCTGTCTCCAGAGGAGCTCGGGGGCTCAGCTAGGATCGCCTGGGGCCTGTGCTGACCATGGGCAAGTCTCGGGTATGTGGGGGCGACGTTTGAGGTGAGCTCGTGAGCGGGGAAGATGTAGCTGGCAGAGCCGTGGAGGGAGGGCGTTCCGGGCTAAGGGGGGCTGTGTGCAAAGGCCCTGACTAGGGAGTGAGCTTGGGCTGCGAGGGTTGGTGCAGGGCAGGTGCTGGGTCCGGCCCCGAGGTGGGGGCAGGAGGTAGGGCTGGTGGGAGGAAAAGCCAGGTGGGGTACAGTGGGAGTGGGGTTGCTGGGCCTGCCCTGAGAGCTATGGGAAGCCCTTGTAGGGCTCAGCAGGGAGCAAGGACTCTGGTGGAGGTTGGGAGACACTGGTCCCCGGCGAGAGTGGTCCAGAGGCCCCGAGGAGGTAGGGCGCACTGGTGGACCTGGCCGCAGTTAGAGCCACAGCGACAGGCCAGGCTGGGGTTCTGGGGGCTTGGGCTGCTTGAGAGGTTTGGGCCCCGGGGGAGGGTGCCATTTGTGGGGTGTGGCAGGGCGGAGTCCAGGGTTCTGACTGGGCAGTTAGATGGCGAGGTGGCACAGGGCTGCGTGGAGACTGGACTGATGTCCAGGCTTGAGAGAGAAACATGGGACTCCGGGGTCTGTGGTCAGAGCTCAGAATGTTCTTGGGGCTGTGTTTTGTCAGCTGACGGGGGCTGGAGGGTGAGGACAGGTGGCAGCGGGGATCACTGTGGCTTTTGCTGGTGTGGTGAGCACTGTGTCCGTGGGAGGGCGCGGGTGGCCGGGCTGCTCTCGGAGCTTAGGGCAGTCAGGAACGTGCTACTGCAGGTGGCCGAGGGTCATGGCTAGGGGAACCACACACTGTGGTTCCAGCTCTGCAGAGTTCAGAGACTGTGGGGATTTCTCCTCACCTCCCTTCCTGAGAGAGGACACTCCCATATGTGAGACCCGCACCCACTCCCAGGGTCCTGGGGTTCCATCGTGCCTGTCCCTCCACTGCCGTCAGGCAGTGAAAGTCGCTAGAACACCTCCCGGATGCTGGGCATGCAGCGGGGCATCTGGTCCCTGTGGGGTTTATAGTCCCCAGTGAGAGTGACACCAGCTTCGCTGAGCATGAGTGACAGCGATGGTGTCTTGTCACTGAGAGAGGCTCCGGGGGTGGGGGCATGTTGGGGACCCTGTGAAGGGGGGCCCGTGTGCGGTGGGGGTGGGTGGGTGGTGCTGGGCTGTGCCCCGCTGCCCCGACAGGGACCTGGTCTGCCCCTGGGCTCACGGTTGGCAGCTGGGGGGCGGGGTGGGCGGAAGTGGGGTAAGATCTGGGCAGAGCTGCAGACCCCAGCTCCCTGCTCTGGCTGGGCCTGGAGCCACCACGCTTGACGCTGGGTTGTGGGGCCTTTCTCCCCCCGCTGCCCCGGGCTTTATGGTTGGTCACAGTCGGTGCTCAGTCGGTGGTCCTGCTTTGGCCAGTTCTGGGCCAGGGGCACCTTGACCAGGGTGCAGGGCACGGCCAGGTTTGGTGCGTGGCGGGGGAGGCCATCCCTCGATGACCAGCAGGGCGTGGACAGGGCCTCTGGGGGGCTCTGGGAGCGAGTGAAGGAGAGCTTGCTGCTTGGGTGCTGTGTGTAGCTGGACCTCAGCCGGCGGGCGGCCCCCGGGGCCAAGTGGTGTTGGTGAGGTTCGACCTCTCCAAGATTTATTGGGACTGATTGAGTTGTGCCTTTGGGGGGCAAAGTCCCTGCCCCTGGCGGTGGTGACCAGAGGGTCTGGGCTGGGAGTGACAGCTGCGTGCCCACGAGTCCCCGGAGTGGGGAAAGGCCGCTCCCCGGGGGGGCTGTGCAGGGGCGGGGGGGGGGGGGCTGCTTTCGACGGAGCTACGTGGACAGCATCGCGTTCTGCCTTCAGCGCTTCCCTCTCCTCCTGGCCCGGCCTGTCCTCCCGCGCGTCCTTCGCCATGCCCCGGACCCCAGACCCTAGCTCAGCCCCCACCCGGAGCACATGCAGGCCTGGGGTCAGGAAGAGCAGGCCCAGCAGAGGGCCGGGCCGGCTTCTCGGCCCCGGGACCCGGGAGGCGTCCTGCCCCCCGTGCTTTGATCGGACGAGCCGTCGGGGCTATAGGGCAGCCGTGCACCCAGCCGGAGGCGGGGAGGGAGCGAGGCTGCGGGGCGGGGGCCTCGGGGAGTCCCTCCGGACGGGCGCTGCGGAGCAGAGCACTAAGCCCAGCCTCGGCCTCGAGCCCCTGGGCTCTACCAGCTGGAGCTCTGGGCGGCCCTCTGTGCCTCAGTTCCCTTGCGCGTAAAGGAGGCTGCAGAGCCACGGGGACCGCATGTGGGCAGCTAGAGGCTCCCGGGGGGCTGCCTGCGGAGAGGCTCGGGCTCCCTCTTAGGGGCCTGTGGTTTCTGCCCTGCCCAATGGCACCGGGACGATTGTGGCCTCTGTCCCCAGCTCACTGCAAATCTGGGCGGGGAACAGAAGGCACTTGCTGCGTGGGGAGCCCTGCTCTTGGCGTCCGGCTGGGGCTGAGGCCGGGGGCCCTCTCCGCCTGTCCTTCCCCTCCTCCTCCTCGGGGTGGGAGTCTCCTGGCCACACATGGCTTCTGTGCCTTTGGGACGGTTTTTTTCTTTGCTGAGAGGCGGAGGTGGGAGGGAGGTGGGCCAGCCGTCCTCGCCCTGCACGCTGCACGCCCTGCACGTCCTCGTCGTGCCGCTGCACGCGGGGACACTTCCCAGGGAGTTGGGGGTCCTGGGCCTGTGCCAGACGTTGACGTGCCGCCCCTCATAGGCTCTGGCCGCGCGGTGGCTCCATGACGGGACCAGGGCGTCACGTGCCTTTCCCACCTGGCTGTGCTCCTGCTCCTCCGTGAGGGTGGGCAGAGATACTCCTCTCCTGCCTCAGTGTCCCCTTCTGGGATCTCGGGGCAGCCCTCTCAGCCTTCAAGAGAGGCTTCTGTAGCCTCAAGGTGTACCTGCCCGCATGTGGGGTGGTCCCGGCATTAGGGGCCAGGGACCTGGACGTTTTGCTTAGGAAGTAGAGTGCTGGGGACAGGGCTGGTCCTTCTGGAGGGGTGAACCGGCAGTGGAGGTCCTGCCACGGCAGGACTGGGGCCAGGGGTCATGGCTGGTGACGTTGGGCCACAGTGTCTTTCTGGCAGGACTTAACCACCGGAGGCCCCTGACCAGCAGCAGGGTTTGTGACACACCCAGAGCAGGGACACAGGGAAGGAAGGCACTGTGGCCCCGGGGACATGCAGGGTGCTGGCTGTTGGGGGGGGCAGGTGTCTGGCCTCCACCCTGTGGGCTCTGTCCCGCCAGCCGGCCCTGATTTTGTTACCCCAAACTCGGTGTCCTCCTGGCTCAGGGAGCCCCTGGAGAGGGCAGGGATCCAACACCTCGGGAAATGTGAGCCCCTCCCCAGCCCGTGAATATTTCATCAACGGATTAAAAATTGAAGCTGAACCGTCCACGGCTCGGGGAGGGCGGGGGCGGGGCACCGCTCCTGTGTCAGGCCTGCTGGAGTGTTTTTCCTGGTGATAGAGCCACGTCAATTAGAAATGGCATTGTGGTTGAAAATGCCATTCCGCAGCCTTCTTCCATTAAGGTCGAGGTGTAATCAGCCATCGGCTGCCGTGAGTGAATTTTGACCCTCAGAATGAGAGGTGAACGGGGCACAGAAGGGTTTGTCAGAGCCGGCGTGCGGGGGGCCACGCAGAGGCTGTGGCTGTGCCTGGGGCGTGGGCAGGCGTGGGTGTTGCTGCGGGCGATCTGGTCTGTGTGTGTGTGTAGGGCGGGGGGCGGGTCTGGTCTCCTTGTGCGCGTGTGTGCGTGTGCGGGGCTGGGCAGGGCTGGGTGGCTGAGGTCTGGCTGCCCACTCATCTGGAGCCCTGCTGTGTTTGCACGGCCGGGTGCCCGGGTGCCCGGGGGGCTGGAGCCCTGAGGTCCCGCAAACAGCGTGGGGCTCGCGAGGGTCCCGGCAGCGGTGTGTGAGGGGGAGGCCAGTCTTGGTCGCAGTGAGGGGACAGTGTTGTGGGCCCTGGGGCTGAGGAGGGGCCCTTTCCTGAGGCTGCCCAGGTGGCAGGCATGACAAGACGAGCCGGCCGGCTGACCCGGGCCTCCAGGCCCCGATGGCCAGTGCCTCTGCAGGTGGGCGTGTTGGAAGCCCTGGCGGGTGCGCTGGGCAAGGAGGACAGGGCAGTGGTAGCTGCTTGCCAGGGCCCCCCGGGCTCTGAGAGGCCTCATCAGGGCCCCAGGAGCATCGGCCCCAGGGAGGAGGATGCAGGGGCCCTACTCCAGGCCCCCAGGCAGGCAGCGCAGGGCTTGGCAGTGCTGCCCTGCTCCTCCCCGTCTCACTCCTGCCCAGCAGCAGGCAGAAGTGGCCACTCGCCAGGCAGCAGACTGCCCAAGGCCGCGTGTCTGGACCAGCCAGCCTCCCGCCACTCTCCTGCTGGGCCTCGCTTGTTTTCCTTTGGCGGATCGGATCGGAGCTGGTCCGGCTGCTGACGGTGCCGCAGTGGCTCTCCTCCTCGGCAGGCCGGCTGGACTCGGGGCGTCCCTTCCCCAGGGGCAGGTGCTGCGGGGTTGGCTGGGGGCCGGCGTGCCGCAACAGCAACATCGTGGGGGAGCAGCGCCACGCCCGGTCCCCTCCTCGCAGGGCGCAGCGCGGGGCCTGCTCGCTGTCGGGCGCGGTCAGCGGCGAGGCAGGGGTGCCCCGCTCCCTGCGGGGATGCTGAGTGAGGCCTCTGCCCGCCTCTCTGGGGCGGGGGAGGTGGGAACTGAGTCTCCTGAGGTGCCGGAGCCCCTTTGCTCTCCCCTCCACGCGCGACAGTGAGTACGCGGTCCCGGCCTCTCCCGGTCTTTTGTCTCTCCCTGGGGGCTCCGCTCTGCTCGCTGTGGGGGCCTCACGGGGCAGTGCACACCGGGCTGGGTGCTGCGGAGTGGGTGGCCGAGCGCGGTGCCCCTGGCCGTGTTGTGCACCAGGGGGGTCAGGCCTGTCGCTGGGGGCCCTGGGGGCCGGACACCCACGGAGCAGGCTCAGCAGGGGCGATCGTGCTTGCTCTCTTAAAGGGGTGGCGGGCTCCTGGGGGCGTGTTCTCAGATTTCCTGAGAAGGCGGAGTTTCTGGCGGCCCTCGGCCGTGGGGGCCCCGCGAGCCCCGGTGGCCTGGGCTGTGGGCTTGCTCACCTTGGCCCTGTGTGTGCCTGTCTGTCCGCGCGAAGCTGGGCTCACACCTGCGCGCGCTGGGCCGGTCTCCCTTCTCGAGGCCGAGCCGCAGGCATTCCTGCCTTTAAGCAGACCGTCGCCAGCTTCCAGAGTCCTGGCGTTGCCCGGTGGTGCGCTGTCCGCTTCTTGGGGTCTGTGTTTCCCCAGTGCGCACGGGGCCTTCCTGTCCTCCCGAAGGCGGTGCCTGGCCTCCC